ACAAGAAATTAGGCTCGAGCACAAAATCCATACTTGAGCACGAGAACGGTTTCATGAATACGGGCCCTAGTGTATTTCCCAAGCCGAGAGAGATAGGCCTAGTCGATAGGAACCAGAAACTTGCTACACAGTATATTCCGTAGTCACCTACTTAAACTGTTTCATCATGCTGAAACATAACACACAGACATTTATATTAACTATATTCAAATCGCAATTTAGAAAGTTTTTAAATATCGTCTGCATTAATTTTGTTGTTTTAAGATACATCTGTAGTTGACAAATTGGTGGGTTCAAGTCATTACGAGCTTCGTTCACCTTTAACTTGGTTGATTAGACCGTAGACGCAGATGGGAGTAGTTTGTCTTGAAAAGACAACACGTGAATATTTTCCGAATACTGTTACAAACCAAAACCTGTCGACATTTCCCTGCTGTCATTTCAATGTTGTTTTTATATACTTGTCCACACCTCTAAAAATAGACCTGAACGAGGGGAACTGAAATTAATATCACGAAATTCCGACCTTGAACTGTACCAATATGCCACTGTTAACTTTAGAAACATCTTCAATGAGTGGTTACACTCGGATAGTAGCTCCGCCCACCAATCACCAAACTCGGATAGTAGCTCCGCCCTCTTATCGCCAAACTCGGATAGTAGCTCCGCCCTCCAATCACCAAACTCGGATAGTAGCTCCGCCCACCAATCACCAAACTTGGATAGTAGCTCCGCCCTCCAATCACCAAACTCGGATAGTAGCTCCGCCCTCCAATCACCTAATTGGCTCAGTCCATGTAGCATGATGATTTTAAGTGGGTGTGGTTATTTGCGTTTGGTCTATGTGTAATGTTTTGATTGGTTCTTCATTTAGGGAAGTGTTAATGACGTTATAGCCAGGTAAAGCATCTTTTTATCCGGGACATATCACCTTTCTTTTGTAATACTTTTATGTGGGCAAACAATGATGTTGTGTACTCGCATTAAACAATTGCAGTAGTGTTAAGTGTACAGTATATACTATGTACTCTTACTATCGACCAACTGCTCATTGCTTACGAGGAATATAATAAAGCTGATAACCCAAACATGCTGACGGGTTGTCAAACTTGACAACATTGCGGGAAACCTTGTAATGATTTTTTTTATCATGACGTCACCAAAAAACAAATAACCACAGGGCAAGACCGTTCCATTATTTATCTGTGTCTACCCTTAAGCTTTTGGATAATCGGGGACACGGTCAATATTCTGATTGTCTTAGAAAAAAAATGAGCCGATTCTGCACTGGTTTTGCAAGGAGCCAAAGTCGAATTCCTAAGACTGCGCAAGCGCCGAGTTGTCGAAGTATGTCTGTACCATGTTGAAAACGACACACATAACTTACCTCCGTAAACAGCTTTCCAGACCATGTTCGGTGTCAGTTTTATTTGTAACATTACAGCACAAGCTGTGAAATACTGTTTGGTCTCTTCTTTATGATAATGACGACAGGTGTACTGTTTAAGCCTGCTGTTCTCTTGGTGATGTCTATGTTTGTGTGAATCTCCTTCAAAGGGAGGCCCCTTACAACTGAAGTGATATCATGTGATAATGGTTGTCTCTTTAGTTAGCACTGAAAACATTACTAATCCGTAATTATCTGACTACTTAATTGACCTCATGTGTTTTGCCGTTATTTCTCCATATTTTTAAAAGCAACATTTTTTTTTTTTAAAGGACCAGAGTATCCTAACTCTGTCCGAATAACCCCCATTCCCCCGACCGTCAGCCCCACCAACTCAACCACCTTCAAAAAGAAATGGCTGTACCTAATGATTGTATTGGTTAACAATTCTTCTCCCGGAGTTAATCATATTGATGCTTTTCATATGACTTTACTCTGACCTCCAAATACATATAATATCAATACCAGATAACCTGTATTTCCGGCCCTTGTGGGATGTACGGAATCGGAAACATACCCTCTGGCATATATAACGGGGACATACAGGCACCTTGATGTTCCAACAAACTTATAGCTTAGCTAAGTCATTTACATGTATTGTACATTTATGTGTACTGTGTTTATTGTCTGCTTTCCCGTTTGACATTTGTTGTAGACGTATTTCCCCCGATATGATAAATAACACGAGTATCTGTTAATCTATTTCTACCTGAGTTATATATACACATGATATCAGTATTGTTTCGCCCGCGGTGTTGTTATGTCGGCAACCGGAAACACGAGGTACAAACTAAATACCGACCATTGGTGAAATGCCGTATATGTTTTTGTGTTTTGGTCGGAACGTATTCCCGATATTCAGAATAAATGTGATTTTTGCACGTGTAAAATACATCAGGCAGAATATATTAAATGTTGTGAAATGTATTAAATACACACGAATATGTCGTGACGTAACGATCAAGCCGGCGGCATGATAAGGGAAGGAATTCATGGCTGAAAACACCACTAGAATCAAAAACAAATATATTTAAAAAAAAACACATGGACGTGCTAAGCCAAAAGCAGCGGTTTATGAAGAGAGCATTGACCAGTTTTTGTGAACTGAAGAAATGGTAAATATATATTGCGCAATGAGTGAAAATGAATTTGTAATAGCATGCTGCCAAAATGCAATAAGTTGTCGGCAACGTTTACGCATAACCGGAAGTCGTTAACACAACCCTTAACAAACGCGTTCAGTGCTAAATGTCACGAGGTGTGGTCCACATCGATGACAAGCGCATAGAGAAGGTCTACTTTGTATTTATCCGTAGCTTCCAGAAAATGTGAATCCCTAAAATGACAGCTATCACGCATCTATGGGAACGGAAACCTATGTGTGATGTCAGAGATCGTTCCGTGTTAAATAAGTCAAATAAACCCGGAATTGCAAACAAGATTGCAGTAATGAACGTTTTCGAAGACCAAAAACATGAAACATGAGTTAACAATACCTTAAGGTTGGGATGGCCGATGCCATTACATCTGTTACATATTCTCGTCGTTAGACTCGCTCACAAGTGTCGTTATGCTAAGTCGACCAGCACCATCTGTGATCAGGATAATCACCTTAGGTTATTATGGTTCTATTGCCAAGGTCGTCGGGAGCATGTGTATTTTACCCACAAAACGATACAATAGGCTTTCCATGCTATATAAGGGTATTTATCAACCAAATAAGCCCTATATACTATAAAGGATATACTGCGCTTCAATCCGATATGTATTGGAACTTTTTTCTTTCAATGGTAGCAATACTATCCCAAGTCCTATTTGATGTTGTATAAACAGACGTAATAAGGGTTAGTACTGTACAAAGCAAGCTCCATTCCGTCGTACTGAGTAAAGAAGTATTCTGTGACCGGATTGCCGGAGTATTTACCTATCACTGACCACATGTCTACTGCCAAATCTGATTACTTGTTTATAAGTATAAGTATATATATTTTTTATCTCAGTAATCACATTCGCAAACAACCAATATTTATAATAGCTCGAAACATCAGTACCCTTAGCCAATAAGAAATATTATAAGTATTTATATAAATAAATAATGTCGGTTGGCACTATGTATACGACTTATAAGGCATGTTAAGGTATGTTACCATATATTTTACTGTTTTAACATATGACTTGAAATTGTTTTACATCTTGTATTTTGTATACAAATATGTCACATTGCCACAGAGTCAAAGAGACAATAGCAGAGTTTACTCATCCACTCTATCGTCCTCTCTGTTCTCGCCCTGCCCGTCTCCCGTCCTGCCTTCCCTATCTCCCTCTCCTGTTCTCCACACTCCTCTCCTGCATTGTCGCCACTGCCATGCGTTTCCGGTCTTCCTCTCGCCCTGCTCCTTTCCTGCCTATCACCTTCCGCTCCCGACCTGCCCGTTTCACCTCATCCTTCCCCGTCTTCCTCTCCTGTCCTCCACCCTCTCCTCTCCTCTCCTCTCTCTGTTCTCGCCCTATACGTCTCACCTCCTGCCTTCCCAATCCTCCTCGTTTGTTCTCCACGCTCCACCTGCCTTGTCGCCCATTTCCTGCCTTTCCTGGCTTCATGTTCCTCTGCTCCCAACGTCATGTCATTATTTTCCATTTTAGGAAGATCAGATACATGTTTCATCGGACATTTGAAACAGAGTTTTGCATATATTGGTATTAACAAGTATGTTGTTTATATATATATATATATATATATATATATAAGATTATTTTACACCGCGCTTTGCATAGTTTAACTTACATGCATATTTACCATTAATGTTTTCGGATTCATCAAAGAGTGTACCATTACGTGTTCATATTTATATTCATTTCCCACTGTCATATCATGTCAGTCATGCTCAAAGGGAAACTTTTGGAGTTTTATAAATTTTCCATCATCTGTTTTTTTTATTTTATTCAAATACAAAACTGAGTATCAGAACACAGATAGTGACTAAGGTCAAACACCGACAAGGCAGTGCTGACGATTGCAACAACACGAAATACGGTCAGCTTGGGCGGTGTAGTGGAAAACATCTGCAAGTCCCAAATATGGAACCCAAACAGTTTATTATTACTGGCCATTGTGCTTGCTGGCAGTCAGATTCAGAAAACAATGTGTTACTTTTTATCAGAATTCAAACTTGATTTTAGAGGAGGTTGATATTGTTAATGTAAGCTTACTGAAATACAGCAACTATTTGTAATCCTGGCCAAACCGGTGTGGATCCTGGCCATGTTGGTGTGTTGCTAGGATGCACAGGGTGTCCCTATTGTTCTATATTTAAACCTCGTCAAAAGAACAAATGAGCGATTAATTTACCGATAAGGTATTGAAATAAACTCACATCAAAGTAAACGTAGTTAGTCAGACACCAAACGTATATTATATTTAGACCTCATTCTTATTTCTGTCTTGTGGTGTTCAAATCGCAATTCAGAACCTCTAAAGAGATACATCTTTTCTATTTGCTAGAATATTTTCATTCGTCAAAAGTTTTTAACAAATGTTTATATTGCTTTGTAGACTTTGAATCATCATCATGACGTCAACAGACGGTCGAGAAAATTATAAATTGGAACAAGAACATTTGACTAATAATCATCGTGATCATGGTTGTTGTCCTGATGCCATCTCCTCGGACACATCCGGGTCCTCCACGGAAAGCGACAATCCCAAAAAGGAGCTACACCAGAGGGAAGTTTGGACCCGAAAAATCGACTTTCTCTTGGCTTGTGTTGGATTTTCCGTTGGTCTTGGGAATGTGTGGAGATTTCCTTTTCTTTGTTATAAAAACGGCGGAGGTAAGTTAAATATGTTAACGAAGTAACCATTTAAGTATTAACGTGACTTCTTGGCATTGCTTTCTTAACATGTATAAGACCGATTTGTCTAGTTTGCATCCATTACAGTTTACACAAACCAATGTGGAATACTAACCCATAAATCGAGTTAACAAAAACCGACAGACAGCTTGATTACTAGTATACATGTAGTCCAATGACTACATTTTACTGTACAGACGTATCAGGAAAAATTCAAGATTTATTGATTTCTCGATCCGAGAATCAAATTTAGGTTGAGTATGTCCTGTCGACAGCTAACACACTGCTTTGGAAGTTTGCGATAAAACTTATTATCGTAAGGTATTAAACATTATCCTTTGTCAAGTAAATATGACCACTTTACACACACAAAAAAAGTTTATACATCTACATGCCAAGGTGCGGCTTACACAACATGTCGCTACTGTATTATTGGTTCTGGTAAGTTTGACAAAATGATTATATAGCTTCAACAAATATGGACACAATTTACCACAATGTAAACATACAAATAGCAACACGAAAGGATAGTGATCCTAGCTCATTGTCGATGAAAAAAGACAACAACCACGGGACCTGATGAGAAAACAAAAAATAAAGTTAAAGGCATCTAAAATGGTTTCAAAATAACTGGTTGACTAGTTCATGTCTTGCGACCGATCTGTACCAACAGTGCAATACAAAGCATAGTAAATAAACAATAGATTCTTTAACATTGAGTTTACCTGAAGTTTGGCAATGATAACATTTTAGTGATTTACAACTTACATCATCTAGTGTAGTGGAATTTAACCTAGTGAAAAGCATCTGCTACTAACAGTACAACACTACACACATTACAAACTCGGGATTTTCTGTCATTATAATCTCATTAGCGCATGCCTTTCATATCAAGAAAAGATATATACATATATATAACATTATTTCATCTCGATATAAAATATCGATATTAAAGGCAACATCTGGCTTAAAGATAAGTACACACTGGACTTGTAAATATTTTGTTTTAAATCAACCAATGGGTAAGACTGTTAACAAAGTAACATGTAATTGACGGATCGAATACATGTACTGTGTAATTTACGTCGGGCCCAAATTTCGTGATACAGAGACAAAACACCATTTCGTTGGTACATGAATTCGTGGAATGCGAATACCCATTCAAACAGCGAATTGCTTCATAGCAAAAATACTAAAAAAAAAAATCTACGGTAAATGTTTACGTTGAAGATGCCATTTTTAAGATCGTAGACGAAGTACAAATTGTGTCCACGTTTTATTAGACTTGACAAAGTAAATTATGGCAATAATTCTAAGTAATGTCTAATAGTTTGTTCCCCGTCACTAACAATCAAGAAACCAAACTGCTCGACTTAAAATGTATGTCAGAATTAAGCAATCAGTCTTTTCTATTTAGTACCATTCGCTTTATATTGACAGTACTGTAGAATACATATCGCCTTTGATTGATGCTACTACGTTTGTTCACAAGACTTAATAACATCATCAAGTAAGACCTTTTGGATATATTCAGATTTATTAATACTCTTGGAGAGATACGATCCACTATTTTTTCAGACAAGTTATTAAACAGTATTTTGTTTTCACTTGATCTCTCCTATTTTCCAATACCAACTGTCATCCGTAAACTAGTTTCCTCCTTGTCTTAAAAGTATATGAGAGCATATCTCTCAATGATATGTTTTCGATGTAAGTAACTTCTACTTTGAAATCATCAAAACTAACGTATACTCGAGTCATAGACACTGTCGTGGTCAGGGTAGCGCTGATTTTGTGGACACACACGTAGGCTTGTCTGGGGTATCGTCTGTCGGTTATCTATAGCGTCAAACTGCAATTACTTTACGTAACAACCATTTCTTCCATATCTCCAGTTTTTGTTTGTACCCATTAGGTTTATAATCACCTATTAGCTCACTGCGTCCTATCCCCTAAGTCAGATTGTATGCCTGAATAAGAATACGTCTAGGATATTAACCTCAGTTGAGCGAGTTAACCAGTCAACCGGATTCCTCTTTGATGCGTTTCCTGTTTTAAGCCCCATTTTAGAGCATCAAATTGTCTAGTAAAATAGCACATCCAAGAATGCTCTGGTGCCAAGAACATGTCAGAATGGAACGGATGAGCTCTTTGATCTCGCCGCAGAATGTTTGTTCGTCATTGGCGCTTATCCGTCATTTGCCTGCCAACCGACGCCGACTATTTATACAAATTAGATAAACACCCAATGTCAGAAACGTATTTGAGTTCTACAGTAGCTAAACATAGACCTTACTCCTAGTCTGCGCGTGTTTTGATAACATTTATGTGTGTTTATTATAGGATTTTTTTACGGAAAAATAATTCTATAACAGATGTGAATCCAAGCAGACGGTAAATCCCACTGATTGAGATGCTTGATTTCGTAATTCATACCTAAAAGAAATGTGGTTCCAAACATCTGGGGGTTTGTGAAGATGTTTTCCCTCTCTAATACTCTATGAAATATAAAATATACGACTGTTGAAAATTTATTCTGGAAAATCGGACATTCTTCAAGGGATTCAAAACTTTCCGAGTTGTAATCCTCTACATTACGTACTACGGCTGTTGATATTTTAAGTCAAGAATCTGTCAAATGTTTCGAAACTCACGCAACACATCCGCAAACAGTTATTGCCTCTAAAGCTATCGTTATCTATAAGTGGAGATTAAAGTGCAGGCGTGCTGTTGCGAGTGTCTAGCAAAGCTTTTACGATTAGTCTTGATTTGTGTCGTGTGTTTTGTGTTGGCCTGTAATCCGCCTCCAGGTAACAGGAATCAGGAAACAGTCTTGATTTAAGTCCAAATTATTTTAGAAATCAGTTCAAGTGTAGTGAAATTATTCAAAATAAGGGAAAATGTCGATATCGAAGTTGAAGAAATGTAGATAATGAGTTCTCCCTGTGTCAGAACAGTTACCGAGAATAGAATAAAAATAGTGATAACGACATGGCCTGAAATGACTAATTTATCATTAGCCGAGACAAATCTTACTGTTAATATAAATATCCCACCTGATAAATTAACATTATAATGCCCTTAAGTTATTTCTTTTAAATAATGTTGATGGGGTAATAGGGAAAATTGGCATTTCAGATTTACGATATTTCTTTGTACAACAATAAATATCCTTGCTTTGTCTGGAAAGTAAATAAAATGTCTGCCCTGTGTTTGTCCTTAAATGAGGCCATTTCAAGTTCGATCTTCCTTCTCCCAGGAAGTTGGCGTCCCCGTAGCTTGATTTACCAATATTATGTTGGCTCACTATATGATGTTGCCTGATGTATCTCGTGACGATACATCCATTAAAAGTAGCCGAAAAATAACTTGCCACGTGACATCGTATGGCGATATTTCCCCACACAAAGCACTGGAGTATTATCTTTAGAGCAAGGCAATGGCTTCTTATTTTGTAAATGCCACAGAAAATCGATAAGATCGTCGTCTGCTAAAATGTCGGATTTTGTCTAGAACTGATATTCCGCTATGCTGGAATTGATAAGCTAATTCGTTTTTATCACTAACACAAATACAAATTTTCATTAACTAATTAAACTAAACATTTGTCGAAATTTGAAAGCTAACTGTGTGTTGATAGAGGCATAAAGTCGATGGAATAGTACTGCTTGTGCTTTGGTATTGTATCGATGACCCTGGAGGAGTGTCGGGCTGGCCTAATGTCGGCACAGCACGACTAACCACAGCTGGCCTCTAGTTAGTCGTCAAACATGCCAACACACAGTCAACATAGAATTGAAAACGTTTGTCAGAGGAATAGGCGGTGTGCCAAAAACCTCTAAAAAGTAATCCCAACATGTGTTCCATACAGTGTGTTGCCTTGTAAATATTATATGACAAGTATGTTCAAACCAAAAAGACCTCTTGTATTATTTCTGCTCAGCACAAAGGTCACTCTGGGTAAACAACTCATTATTATACTCAAAAACGTGAATGGTTACGCATCAACACTGTTCACTGTAATGCTATCTGCAGAAAATCAAACTAGTAGGTCATGCTGTTCAGTGTTTTATTGCATTTTTATAATAACACAAGTTATTTCATGGCAATTCCTAGAAAAACAGACAAGAACTATACAAATGCAGGTATTCAGAACCAGCGAGCTAGACTATTCTTCTGTTTTTGCGACAGTTTTAAATATTTGAAACACTGATAACTGCTCAGTATATAATGACAGATGAGTATCTACTTTTTAAAAACATGTTTACAAAGTCTGATACTCCAATTAACATTGGTTATGTGTCCTGTTGCCAGCCCTGGCTCTTGTTCAGATAAACACTTTTTTCGGAAAGCTTTTTCAAATTAAAATATCAGTACTATCGATCCACATCTATGTATGTTTGAACGGTCATTACAGATAAGAAATAATATCTGAACATTTGATTCTGGCATGCTAATATCTTACTTTTATTTTCTGTTATCATCCTACTAGGCTAGGTGGTATAATGTTAAACAAAACTTTTAGTAGGCATCATACATATTATCAGGTTATAAACTTAACGCTCTCCAACTGAATACCTTACTTATGTTAGAGTATGGCATACTACTGACGTTTTTGTACGCGTGCAGACATGAATGAAAATATTTGTAGTTTCTTCCATACTATTTGACTCAACGGGGAACTATTAAATTTTCTGTTTATTACAATCTTAAGATAAAAGGAAGAGAAATATGGTTGCATCGAAAACGTGTCGAAATAAGTAGGGTACTATTTGATGTCGGGTTCTAATGACGTCATCCTTACAAGCGGGCTTTTCGCCATTTTGAATGGGTTGCTGAACACAATTATACCGTTTGCTGCTACACTCTGGTAAGATGCCCTAATAAAATGCTAAATCAATTGCATCAATTAAGAAATTTTTAGTTTGTTTGGAATGATGTACCAGCCAACCACTGTTTATGTCGCTTCATCTGTCTTT